TTGAAAACGCTATATAAGAATCAGTCCATTCACTGTCTGAGCAGTTTTTTCATGTTACTTTTGCACTATTATGCACATGTTGTTATTACATACTGGGCTTAATTAAGGTACACATTAGGCTGACATCTGGGGCCAGAGCTGAAACTGTTCTGGGCCAGCACAGGACCAGCAGTGTGTCTGCAACTGGCCCGTGGCTGCACACAACTTACACATGGCCCACATACCACAAAGAATGACAGCTCTTTGGTTGCCCACACATGGGCCAGCACAGGACCACCAGTGTGTCTACAACTGGTCTTGTGCTGGCCCACGAATGGGTCACATTTGGCAAACCAGATCTGAGCCACCAAAGTGCCGTCATTCTTTGCAGTATGTGGCCATGTGTAAGCACATTGTGTGGGCCAGGTCTGGGCCATACCAATTTTGCTATGTGGGAAGCTTAAAAGTCAGTATTTGTTATGAGCACCTAATAAAGTCACAGCTTTATTATGGCAGCTGGTGACTTTACTCGTGTCATAACATTAAAAAATAAGGATTTTTATCAATATAGTCATAATCAGTCATATTTGAGATCTATAATCTTTTTTTTATCAGTGTGATTACCTGACATTTTTCTTTCCACAGGACTCTGCTGTGCCTGTTGGCTTGGGAGAAACAAAGTGAGGTGAGAATTTAAATTTAATTTAATAATAATAATAATAATAACAACAACAACAACAACAACAACTTAGATTTGTATAGCATTTTCAAGAAACCCAAGGACCCTTTACACAAGAGTAAAAACAGTAATTGCTTGAGGTTGAGGGTTTTGTTGAAGAGGTGAGTTCTGAGAAGCCCAGCGCGATGCACCGTCCAGTGACGGGGCATTGGGAAGATCATATGGGAGAAAGTACCAGAAAGCGGGGGCCGCCACACTGAAGGTTGTGTCCCCAAAGGTATGGAGGTTAGTGCGAGGGACAGAAAGCAGACCCATGGCTGATTTTTATATCTCTCTTCTGTTTTCCACAGTTTGTGCTAAAAAACATTTTTCTAGCTTTGAATCATGTAAACCTGGGTGAAATATCACTCTGTGTTCAATCATGCCTCGAATAAAAATGATTACGGAAAAAATTCCACATTTTCAACCGAGCATCCAAACTAAACACCGCTGCTGAAAAACATTCCACTTGACTTGAAACAACACACAGGGGGTTAATTACTGTTTCTTACTCTTTGTTTTTTCTGCAGGTACGCACAAGCTTACAATCCCAGCTCTGGTATTCTATTTACTACAGCTGTTAAATATGAATAAATCTCACATCTGATCTCACGTTGCAAAACAGTTTAAACACCATCAAAGTTGCATAAATCCAAAACAAAAAAGCATGTGCGGAGGAAATCTGTGCGCAAAGTTAGTGCCATGAAGCATTAGATGGAATTTGTGCAAACCCTTCTTCTGGGAAAAGGACAGGCAAGGCAGAAATGCGTCAATAATTCAGTCTCACATAGCTCATATTTGACCTCACAGAAAAATTAATTCCCTTGTGTGGAAGTGAGTTTGAAGAGAGATGAAAACAGATGTTTGAGAAAAGGTGTAAATGGGAAAAAATAAAATAGCAAAATAAATAAAGAACAAAAAAGAAAAGAACAGCATCAGTATGAGAACCATGAGCTTTCACTCCTCTCTGCTGCATCCTCACTCACGTGTTGATTGATGGGATCACTTAGGCATAAAAAAGAGACAGCTACATCAGACTGGCAAAACATCTCAGCAATAAAGGCTTGTGTGCGTACCTATTGTGAATATATATTATACTAGTAACGTGTGCTAAACTCTCCCGTTCTATCTTTTTAATGAAAAGAATTCAATTTTTAATGTTGACAGCTGCCCTTGGCAGTCCTTGAAGGGTTTTAATAAACCAAAAACTCTAATCTCTTCTTCGATCTTAAACATATTCATCCCTACAATATGCCTTTCAGAAACCATAAACTGCCTCCTGCATGAAAAATGGGGAATAATCCACTCACACAGTGACCAATGTTGTATTGCAAAGTGCCCGTGTATTTTGGAATAGCAAAATCATGTACTGACTACTCATTTGAGGTGCATTTAGCAGTGGCAGTACATTAAAAGACTTGATTTCCATATTACTGCCATCATTAGTGTTATTTTTGCATAAATTTCTGTCTGTTAAATCAATTAGGGAGGTCTCTAATAACCAGCATGGGTCTGCAGGTAAACTGGTCGAGGGAATCATTTGGAGTGATTAGCAAAGGTGCACAATGTGGTTTCAATGCATCCAGCTTTTATGCCTTAATGGAGACGAGCAAGCGTTGCCATTTTTGGATGTACTGCAGTTTTATTGGACAGTCTTGTGCTTGCTTCTGTGTTTTTGTCTACCTGCTGTGATCCACACAGAGAAAGTAAGACTCAATCAGACACAGCAACATTAGCCTGATGACTTATATGTACCGAATCCATTGTGCCCATGACAACCATTGTGAGCCGAGCTTTGTCGGACATGTAATGACACAGCCCGCGAATTGTGTTATAGTAGACACAAAGAAAATCCATTTACTTGGTGGGGGCAACTGGAATAAGAGTATTTCACATTTCATTGTGTGAGATAGGCAGCATAATACATCATCTGTGATAAGAAGGTGTTGTTGTGAATTTCAGCCAGATGATTGTGTCTTTTTTCAGTGTCTGGGGAATGCTGTACTTTTATCCTTTGTGTTAGCTTAGCTCCCTGGCGGTAATGCTGCTGTTGGCAAATCTGTATGTATAGTGTCACCTGAAACTGAGTTTTCCATTACTGATCATACCATCAAACGGAAATCTGGGTATGAAACAAATCCAGAGTTATTTGTAGTAATGAATAGGCAGGCTAGCTTTTTTTCTAGTTTCAGTCTTTATGCTAATGTGGGTTAGTTGCCCATTTGATTATTTGATCTCCCTTTTTTCCAAAACATTCTTGATATTCATTTGCAACGGCCGATACATTCATTGAGGTCCTTCTCCTTCTGTGTTTTGTGTCTCCCACTGGCATGTGTTTGTATATGTGTGCTTACCTCTTTCCAGAGTAGGTGCAGTCACTAGAGGACTTATGGAAAATTACAAGTCTTAGCTGATGTCTTCAGCTGGACATGGCCCAGTTGGGTGGGGGTATGTGGCGAGGTGTGGTTCGTTGCGTGGCTGCGGGGGAAGCTCGGTATAAAAGTCTGTACTGGGTCCTGTTGTAGTTGTTGTTGTTGGTGGCGTATGGGTGGGTGGGAACTGAAAAGCTGCAGGTGCGAGTATTGTGGAAACCACAAGAGGAAATAAAGTGTGTGTTGACAAGTGTGATAATGTGGTGGGGTCCGTCATTCGTGCCACATTTATGTTTTAATGCTCTTAGTACTGCTGTTTATTTCTAACATGACAGTTCCACGTTAGAGCTCTGCAACATTAAACTGATACTTTTAAACATTAAAGGTTGCTGTCAGCCTAATAAAGGGTTTTTTATTCTGGCTATTAAACAGGCATTTTTGGTGATACACTACAAATGTAACTAATCAGTTTTCTAATCTGTGTTCCAGTGTCTGTAAGTCCAATGTTAAGTTTTACTGATCGCTTATATAAAAGTTATTTCTTCAGGAGAGAATCTATATCAAACAAATAAAAGAATCATGATTTTAAACTGAAGCTCTTCAGCCAGACAGTAAGACCCACTTTACCAAACCTCTCTGGTGCCTTATTGCTTAATTTTGATGAACCTCAATAGTGGCGGCTACAGTAGACATATATACAAAAATGGCTACTCCTTAGTCTGCCAAGCTCTAGGTTCCAAAATGCATAATAATGGTAAATGGCCTGTATTTATATAGTGCTTTACTAGTCCATAAGGACCCCAAAGCGCTTTACATATCCAGTCATCCACCCATTCACACACTCGTGATGGCAAGCTACATTGTAGCCACAGCTGCCCTGGGGCGCACTGACAGAGGCGAGGCTGCCGGACACTGGCGCCACCGGGCCCTCTGCCCACCACCAGTAGGCAACGGGTGAAGTGTCTTGCCTAAGGACACAACAACCAAGACTGTCCAAGCAGGGGCTCGAACCGGCAACCTTCCGGTTACAAGGCGAACTCTCAACTCTTGAGCCACGATGCCACCCCATAATAATCATAAATATGGCACTGCATGTCCGTGTTTTATGCACTAAAAGTTAGTTAGTATGTTGATACCTGAAGCCTGTGCCATCTTCTCTATTTTCAACCCCAAACAGAGCTGCTTGTTTGTTTTTTGTTTCAAAAATGGCTCTTGTCTAGAAAGTTCACGAAACCAAACAATTTTGAAGCAATTTTGCTTGTTTTATCATATAGCTATATAGAAACCACCTTCAGCAAACACATACTGCAACAAAAATTTACTACATGCACAGGATGGTTCACTTGTGCATATACCAGTTCTGGACTATGAGAGCATTCTCAGACTATACAATACTTTTGTTTATTTGGCTCCGTGGCATCGTGCTGATACTTTCAGTGTTAGTGGCAGACAGAAGCAGGCTTTACATTTTTAAAACATGTCCTTTGGTTGTAATCCATATTAAGCTGCATAGCATAACCATGACATTTAATACTCAGTAATAAACAGCTTTAAAATACCTACAGAGAGGCCAGTTTAAAAAGAATATTGACATGTTTTTGAACAAGAATCAATACAGCTCTGGGTCTTGGTGTAAAGCAGCAGAGATTATTTGGGTTTTCAACACATTTTCAGTTGCAACCATCTATCTTAGTCCACAAGTAGCTGTGAAAGGACACTTGATATCTGCAGTGTTTAGCGGCAAAGGGAAAGAATAAATGGTTTATGAACCATTGACCTCTCACAGACTGGCCTCTACACTGTGACTCAGATCTACAGTCTCTCTATAAAGCCCTTTTCACATCTCATAGAATGAAGGGAAGACCACAGGGAAAAACTACACACTTCAAATATGGACTATAGAGTCAGAAAAAGAGGGAAAAGGGAAAAACTTTCTCTTTTAAAATACATTTTATTATGTAGAAACCAAAGACAAAATGTACATTATTAACATCATAATGGTAATTACAGACTGACGTTAATGAAGCTTGAGTTCTTTCAGAGAGTCGACTTCACACATTAGAAATGCTAATATCTTGTTCTAGTGTTGCAGTCAGCAGGTATAAAACAACACAACATGTTAACATCAAGAAAAACAATGCTATGATACAAACATAAAAAAGACTAGATTTCTGCATTCACAATGAACCTCTATAAACAAATCCACCTACCCACACCCACTCGCACATATGGGTAATGTTAATGTAGTTTCAGTAAGAGGATTGCTTTAGGCCTAATTCTAATGGGATGTGTAGCAGGATTCACAAAACAACTGTACTTCACTCTGAGAATTAACTTTGTAATATATTACACAAAACATAGACGAAACACGAAAAGTAAAGCGTAACGAACGAAATTGGAATAAAGTAGACACTGTGTGCTGCATCGTTTCAGCCTCTTTTTAGTGTAACTAAACATTTCTGACGAGGTTAGCCACCTAGAGTTATCCTTAAAGGGTTGATTTTGAGACAGAAAGCTGTGGTTCATGTGTTATTTCCCTTTCAATCGTCAGTCTTCTTAACCCATCACGAGTGTCATACAATCAATCAAGAAGCTCTCTCAGAGGCCACTTGTGAACCAGGTTCCCCCAGAAATTACTGACTGACAATCTCCCCTCTTTAAAAGGCCAGATAATAATCTGATGCTTCAAATCACTGCACCAAGGTGATTTCCATTATTGTCTTTAATTAAAAGTCCATCAACATATTGTTTCATGCCAGAGCATAATAATGACTCCTTAACAATGGATCTCATAGGCAACCTGTGATCCGAACAGGAGACTCTGACTGAGGAAGAGCTCTTCTGGGTCTGTTGTTAGGGGCCCCTCTCCCCCGTCCGCTGGGTTTCTGCGTAGTCCCAATCCCCCCGATCGTGTCAGAGTCTGAACCATTTCGTGATCGAGGAGAGCCTCCTTCATGCCCTTCTGTTGGACAAACCCGCTCATCATGGGACATGCAGACGAAGTGGAACCCAGGACCGGCTTGGCTCGGTTGAGTACGTACATCTCGTGGCCATGGTCATCGCGGTACTCCTCCAGCTGCGCAAAGGTGGTGGGTCCGTCAGAGTAGTCGTTCACATAGAGGATGCTCTCTTCCTTGCTCGTGCAATAGGAGCCAGTGTCATCTTTCTGATACTGCTGGTGACGAGTGTAGATCATAATCAAGAGGAGAACAGCAGTGAGTGCCAGCAAGGAGATGCCAACAGCAATAGCAGTCTGTGTGGCAGGGCCCAGGGCATTAAAGTCCATGCTGTCTTGCTCATACAGAGGCTCCTGGCTAACATCCACAACCTCAGGCTGGTAAAAGGAGTTGGACGAAGATGAAACATAGGAGTGAGTGTTCAAACGAGGCCAAAACTGAGATGAATAGGAGGAAGAAGACATGTTGACTGCTAGGTGGAAAGTAACCCTAGCCACACCACCAGGGTTCCAGGCCTCGCATTCGTAGCGCCCAGCATGTGCTACGGTGACATTGCTGAGAAACAGCATGCCGCTGCCCATGTCTGGATCGAAGCTGTCCCTCTCGCCACCTTCCTCAGTTCCACGTACAGGCCCGTGGATTGCTCCAACACCTCCCACCTTGATCCCTCCACTGCTTGGTAAGGCTGTCACCGCTCCACCTGTCCCAGGCCTAAACAGCTCCCCATTGGGTCCCAGCTCTTGAACCAGGCCTCGAGGTGACAACTGTGGTTTACCATGGGAGGCTTTTTTCCAAGTCACTTGAGGCTGAGGGTATCCTGAGGCCTGGCAGGAGACTCGAAGACTCTCTCCTAGGCGAACGGTCAGGTGGCTTGGCTCGAGCTGCACTACTGGAGGGATGCAGACCAGACTGTTTGGAGGTACCTCCACCAGGCTGAGGTGGGAGAGGCGAGGAGGTTCGGAGCACATTAGCCGACGCTGCTCTGCAGAACTCAAGAGACGCTGTCCGTCTTCGCTTATCCAGGTTCTCAGCCAGCCAAGAGCACAATCACAGCGCCATGGGTTCTCTATAAGGGAATGAAAGAAAGCAGTTAAGGAAACAGACATAAACGGAAAGCAGTTTTCAAGGTCAAAATGAATCTAGCATAAATCTGATAGCATGGTGGAAAGTAACCCTGGCCACCTGCATCATCTACTGAAGTGGATTTGTTAAATATATTTTTTTGTTCATGTAATATCAACTTTCTAATTCAATTCAATTAATCTATCCATCAATTCTCTTCCGCTTATCCAATCAGGGTCAAGGGGGGCTGAAACCCATCCCAGCTGCTGTAGAGTGAGAGGCGGAGTACACCCTGGACGGGTTGCCAGCCTGTCGCAGGGCTACCACAGAGAGACAGATAACCATTTGCACTCACATTTACACCTATGGGCAATTTAGATTTACCAAGATTTCAAACCCAGGACATAAGAAACGTCCAGCAGAACCAGGCTCTGCCGTGACCCGTTGAGGATAATGAGAGTGAGACAGGACGAAAAACATATTGTGGTGCTGTGGAGTTCTTTTGAGCCCACCGCAAGACCATGGGCCTTAGTAATCAAGACTAAATCATTGTTCATGTTTATAGTCACAGAGACATCATAGAGCTGTTTAAACAGTAACAAAAACAGACTGTACATTTTTTACACTCTTGGGGACATATAGACAGTGACAAAAATGTCAAACTTGGAGAGAAGTTCACTCTTTGAATCCATTAACGCCTCTGTCATTAAATGTAACGAGTGTGAAGTTGGGATTGTTGCTTTCTTGGAAGTTACAGTAAGGGTCAGTCCAACTTTAGAAAAGTGTGGGAGGAGGGATTACCAGATTTTATCTGAGTAAACAGGCTCCTCCACATGAGGTCCCATTAATTAGCTGTTTCGTTAATTTAGTTGGCTTTTTCCTCTAGTTTTAATTCTCGGAAGTCTGCCTGCTGTGACCCGCTGTTATAATTTCATTGGTAGAGTGTGAATTTCAGTGGTTGGAAGTACATTATTGCAGGGGTGTGAGTTATTCAGAAGTGTGGAAAGAGAGGAGTTATTCAAGGCACCTTGAATTAAAATCAGTGTTGCATTATTCTATCATATTATCGTAACACTTAATATAATCTAGGAATTCTACCTACCTGTAACACGGAGCACCTGCAGACTGACAAGCGGTTTGAGTGATGAGGCTCCCAGGGTGCGGAGGTGATTCCTGCTGAGGTCCAGCAAGGCCAGAGACGACAATCCAGACAAGGCTTGCTCAGCTAGAAGCTCAATGCTGTTTTCTTGCAAGTGGAGTTCCTGCAGACGCTGCAGACAGCAAAAATGACACAAAGCAGGGGAAGCAGAGGTAATTATAAAATGTGCAAGTTCATAAGGGATAGAATTATCCAGTATAGTGACAGGAGGCTGTCTCAGCTCCACCTGAGTCAGTCTGTACTGTATTACCAAATGCTAGGGATTAAGGAGACATCAGTCACGAATAAGACTTAGGCTACGTTCACACTGCAGGTCTTAATGCTCAATTCTGATTTTTTGATCAAATCCATTTTTTTTGTCTGCTTGTTCACACTACAAATAAAATGTTACAGCAAACGCGTTCTAGTGTGAACACTCAAAGCGGCCTGCATGCACGAAAGAAGACGTCACACACAACGCGCTCTGTTTAGACCCAGAGCAAACAGTATTGTTTGACTGATGGCCCTTAATATAAAGACTTCGGACTTTACGTTTCCCAATTTGGCTTTAAGTTATAAAGTTATTTTGTTATTTACATATGGCCTAATAATTATCCTTATTGCTGTTTTAGAGAGGAGCGGTGCTTCAAAGGATAGTCGGTAATGTCTGTCAGAATCTGCAGATTATACAGTACACAATAAAATGTTCACGTTTCTCCAACGTTGTCTTCCCAACAGTTTCACTGGATGGCCAGCAAGCGTTCGCGATGTCTTCTTGGGCGCTTCTCCGGCGCTTATAATTGGCGTCTGTCTTGTGTCAGTGACGTAAAAGACGGATTTAATGCAACATGACCATTCAAACAGCAGTTGCTTTCTAAAACATCAGATATGTATCGTATTCAGTACTACATACTACATACGCACCCAGGTCGGATTTGAAAATATCAGATTTGTGCCGTTCACACTGTCATACCATGATCGGATATGGGTCGCATAGGGTCAAAAAAGTCAGATTTGATGCGCTTTCGCCTGCAGTGTGAACGTAGCTTTAGATTTGAAGACATCATTCTGTAAAATATCATGATATACAATCATATGATTGTTGGGCTTTTCTCTGTATCTATGAAGCGCCTTGAGGCGACATTTGTTGTGATTTGGCGCTATATAAATAAAATTGAATTGAATTGAATTAAAAACATTCTATATTTCTTTCCTAGAACACCTATTTCAAAGTTTGCATTAATTATTTCCAACTAATACATTCAGGCTGACACAACCTAACCTGTAGTCCTCTGAAGGTGTGGTCCTGGACTCGAGTGATCTGGTTGCCGGCGAGATACAGGATCCTTAGGTGCTCCAGACCCCGAAACATATCAGAGGTAACCAGGTGGATGAGGTTACCATTAAGGGCCAGCTCCAGCAGCTGCCCCTGCCCGAGAAAAGCCCCGGGCTCCAGGGCTGAGATGCTGTTGTTCTGCAGGTATAGATAATGGAGGCTGCCAAGGCGAGTCAGGTCTTGAAGACGGATCTGCACTATCGCGTTGTCCTGGAGGAAAATGGTCTTTATGGACGACAGGGTAAATAAAATTAGCAGAGTGATCACACATTGATTACATTAGGGAAACAGAAGATAGGATGTGAGGTTTCATCTGAGGTTTGTTTTGTACAAGAAAATGAGTGTGGCTTATAGCTGTGCTGCACTCAGCGGGTAGAAATTAACCACACAATGGATTAAACCAGAAACAGACCCACCTTGAAACACTGCCTCACTGGGCTGTGCATGTTAAATGTAGTCATGTGTGGTGTTCCATGTACCGCAGAATGAACTAGTTCACAGTTATGATAATCTTACTAATTCTAATGATGTCTGTATGCTCTAGACCTATCATCGGTAATCATTGTTCATCTGATCTTTCTCAAATCTGGCAAATGTGTTGCTGAGAATCCAAATAACATCCAAAGTATGTAAGCTTCAGATAGGTTTGGCTGAGTGGTTCTCATATCAGCTCACTTGTCTGCGATCCTACTCTCCCAATAGGATCCATCACTAATTTCAAGTCATAATGAATACAACATGATTTTAATTGAGTAAAATGTGTTGACTTAACAAACCGGAACTTTGACCCTGAGAGATCTGCACTCCACTGTGAGGCTGGAACAGCGACAGCCGGAGGGACAGCCCAGAGACGCCTGAGGGTATGCTTTACTATGTTACTGAAAAGTTTCAAGCCTCTGTTTCTGAACCAGATCTGCCCCTTTGCCCTTCGCGTTCAGTTTCAAAACACCGGGTGAAGACATAGACATTCAAAATCAGGCTTCATATTGAGCCTCCACAATGAGTGATGTCACAGTGACTAGGTCCATCTTTTATTTACATCTTTTAGCTGCAGCCAACAATCTGCCTGTTCTGCAGAGCCCCATTTTGAGCCGGCACAGTCACACCCACGCACATTCTGCGAGTGCAACCTTCTTGTTGTCAATATATGATTACCTGCATGTGATGTGGCCATCTGTAAATTGAGAAGGACATGGGTTATATTCTGCCTGAATGAGCACTGTGGTAGTAATGGTAGTTGGTTGCGTTTCATGTGTCTTAGTCAGTGCTTTCTGCGTTGGATCTGGCGTGCACAATTTTGCAGCTTGATTGGTAATATGCATTCATCTGTGACGCTTCCTTGGAGGAAAACACGGGGGCCACGAGGTAAAGTGTGATGGACGAGATAGACCTGCTGACTGAGGTTAATGGAACAATTTATGCAGGGCATGCTTTACATTAATATTCATGAGCTGCAGTGATGTTGGGGGGGTTTGAACCCAAGAGGAAAAAAAACCACGGCATAATGTTAAACATCTTCGCAACAGATGATCAGAGCGCGTGCGAGAGTCGCGCTCTGAGCAAGAATGAATAATTACACAGCCAACAGCGCAGCCCTTCCCTCAGGCTTACATCAAAGAGGGTCACGGTGAATTGATTAACCACAATCATTTCAGGGTAATAAGAATGGATCAGAGAGGAAGTCAACTGAAAACCTCTGGTGTGCATGTGTGTGTGTTTGGATGGGGCGGGGGCACGGGCAACTAGTGCCCTAACATACAGTCCAACTGACCTCGGTGACAGACGGGATGCCCTGTGGGATTTCTTTGACCCCGAGAGATCCGCACTCCACTGTGAGGCTGTAGCAGCGACAGCCGGAGGGACAGCCCAGGGACGGCTGAGGGATGAGGACTAGGATGATCAGGATTAGTCTGGAGAACCACAAGAGGCCCATGACGGCTTTACAGTAGGTCTTCAGAGGCAGAACCTGAAAAGAGAAGATGGGGAAAAAAGGGGAAAACATTTCTCTCTTCTTGGTTAATGCACTTTATTCTCAAAGCGGAGACTGACAGCAGCTCCAGATGTGCTGTTAAAGCATATAACTGTGAAATGGCAAGGGAGGATTGACAAGAAAGCAAGCAAAAACAAGCGTATCTCTTCATCCCCAGCTATTATCCATTCAACTGTGTCTATTCTGCGGGACTGCAGCAGCTTCTATTATGGGCTTCAATTAATTAAAGATGTGATAAAAGATGTTCAGGTTGCCTCAAGGACCTCTCTCTTGTCTGCTTAATGCATGCACAAACACACTCTCCCTCATTTTCGGTCTCTTTCTTTGTCTTACAATCACGCACACACACAATTGTGTAGCAAAGAGTCACAGTCTCTGTTTTGAACTCTGTAATCTCAGAAAGCACATTTACCTCCTCAAAGCAACTCTCCAGTGGTAACCAGCTCTAATCATCTGATCAAAACCATCAGCATCGGCTGCTCGCTGCACCTTACAGCAACGTCTTGCTTTGATATAAACCCATCGCAGAGCAACTCATCCATGCACTTCTTTTTTTCCACCCGTTTTCTTTTCTATTTTCTTTCTTTCTTTTTTTTTTGTGCATCTATACGGTCCAGAAGGGATTTATTGTTCTGCTTGGTTGTTCACATCAAAACTCAATGCTGGCCAACACTATGCAGCCCGGCAGTGTTCAAAATAGTTAATCTGCAGCAGGTCACACGAGGATACCGGAGGGCTGGAGATATAATATGCACTGAAATGTCACACTGAGCCTGTCATTCTGTCCCCGTGACAGCAGGTTGATTTACCGTGCTTTACTGTGCCACCTGCCTCGTCCTGGAGCAGCTTCTTCCAGCAGAGAAGACGATGTCTCATTGATCCAATCTAAAATCTCACATTGTTGTCCCTCTGCGGGGGGATACTCCCACTAGGTTTAAATCTGGGACTCCCCACCATTTGACCTTAGAACTGAAGAAGCTTCTCGGATGAGAGGTGAAACGTCTTCAAGCAACTTAAAGAAGTCCAGACGCTTTTCTTTGCAAGCTCCTTTGACTACGATGACCTGGATGACTGAGAACCTTCACAGACATATTGTTAGAAAACATTCGCTCGTACCCCAAGCTGAGGGTACCCCCCGTACCCTCAGCTTGTCTGACTTGTGAAAAATCCTAGTTTACTTAAAGAGTCTCCCGGACAGATAACTGATAGTATTTGCATCTTGCTCGGAACGATCTGAAGATCGTTTAGTTTATTAATCATCAGAATGCACACAGCTCTCATTAAAGCTAAATGATGAAAGGGTCCTGTGCCTGAAATAAACTGTGACTGATAAATATTTCATTTGCCGGGTGTTTGAACTCTTCTGTCGGACCGATATCAAGCCTGTCCACTCCGTATGCAGCATTATAATCCAGACGAAATGCCTAAGCGTAAAAGTACTGGGATCGCTGTTTCAGTGGCTGAGAAGTAATTCTCAGTGCGGTCACGCTGCAGTATTAAGCAAATACGAAATAAAACCGGATTTTTTTTTTTTTTAACATTGTGTGTTTCATTTAGAGCGCATTTGCAAGGGTAGCCAGCTTGATTAATACAATGTGACCTACATAAGCTTTTCAATCGTCTCCTCTCACCAAAAAAAACACTTATTAACAAAAGCGTGCCATTTCCTCTCTGGAGCTCGCCAAACAAGCATGCAGAGAAATTAGGTATTTCTATTGTTGGGAAGAGAAAGCACAAAAATTGAATTCTGAAATAGGCCTTGGTCTGTCATTGAGCCTTTGTTACTTCTCACAGTGAGATGACTTCTAAATAGCTTTGACTTAACTTGAAAAGTGTCAGAAGGGGAACCGGAGAGGAAGACGCCTGCCCTCGGCTAAGAATACACTCAGAACAGGGTGCACAGTCTGATATTTGTTGTTAGAACATGAGCCCAACATCAATGCAAACGACTCACTGCCAGAATACAGCTCGTGCATTTCTGTCCTTGCTTCCAGGGCTGCTCAGTTTTTTAAAAACCGCACACATACAGAGTCTGGATGGCCCACACACAAAGGGTACCCATGGAGTCATCAGGTTCTGCAAACTGAAAGGACTCAGTGACAAAAATAACACAACGGGCGGGGGCAGGCTTCTTTAAATAATGCTGCTGACACTTGTTTTGCAGTACAATGTATACTCCACTTTTTCTAGATTCAGCAAAGACTTGACTCTTATCTTTTGTTTTGCTGATGTGGGATTTTGGTGGTAAGAGGTCAATTTGTTCATTTCTGTCTCGGTAATCCCTCGCGGAACACGCAGTAATCTGCACAATCAGATGCTTGTTAGCTAAGCCTCTGTCTGTGCTGTCCACGTTTTTGTGGAGGGAGGCGCTTTGTTCGGCATTAAAAAAAAAACGAGGTCAGCAATATATCTTTATTGACCACGTGGGAAAGTGTACATAAGATGATTAAGGCTTGTTGGTTTGTAGAGCGAGCCAAGAGCCAGGGAGAGTGCGGCCGCAGAGACCTGCCAGGGCAGATGTCAGTCAACAAATGCCAAAGGAAATCTAATAAACCTGGCATCACACAAAGCCCTGCTCAGCATTCACCAGCAGCTCCTAACGTTCGCCCACACACATCTCTGCAAACATTATTTTGCGCTGGACTTGTTTATTTGGGCATTTCTGAATTACAAATGTCTCTTTTGCTCTTGACACAGTGATCTGTTCCTGCAAACAAAATCATCATCCACTGGTGAACAGTTACATTCGGGCTGACCAAACACTCACAGCACCGACAGCCTGCTCTTGTTTTTGCCAAGAAGGGTAGGTGTTGATATGTCAGAGGTGCAGCAGACTAGCCAGAGTGCTGGAGGCGGGAATCAAAGTTCACATTCCCGCGTTGCCATCGGTGCAGGTCGGCCTCATCCGTTGTTATGGTAACTCTCGCAATCAGGGAAGGTTCTGCTTGCAGGGCCTGAAGGCCAGCCACAGTCCCTGTGAGCTGCTGTTAGGCAAACAACTCTGCAGAAATAGAAGCTGTCATTTCCAGGGGAAAATTGCTCACAGGCACTTGAGCTATGTGATGACCCAGAGCTAAATCGTAAATTCTCTCTCTCGCTCTCTTTTTTTTGGTTCTGAATCTCTTTCTCTTTTTCCAGCTTCAACTTTTCCCTCCCTCTTTCTCTCCTTGTTCCCTTCGCAGTTTCCTTGAAAAGCCGCCATCATTTTCCCTTTCCATAGTCTCTGACCTCTCTCTTTTCTCATCGCCCGTCCTTCAGCTCTGACTGACAGGTGCTAAATCATTTGTCTCCGAGCATCCTTTTGTCCACAAATAAACCGAGGGCCAACGCTCCAGCAGTGCACTGTGGCACTAACCCAAGAGTAACACACTGACTTTGAGAGATAGTCTTGTTGGTGCGCACCAAAATGCACAAACACACACAGGAGCGCTCATGAACATGCAAAGCACGCCTACAATACAACACTCATATACAAGCACCAGCCACCAACGTTCAGGGACACACACTCTTGACTGGCAGACGCACACACACATAGAGGAAGATGCTCATATGCTTATGCGCTCGCACATCTTGTCTACAACCAGCAGCAGCTATCATCATTCACAGACACAGACAAGTCAAACACTCACATATTTTTGTGTCAGCGGTAAAGGAAGCTCTGCTCAGTTAATAAGTCTGCATTGATTTCTTTATTTTTCCACTATTACTCTGTCCAGTTGGGCTCTGCAACCATTGATTTTCACCGTGAAAGCAGTGGGGAGGGGAGCTGGCATTTGTGAATGTCTGTGTTGAGGAGAAACAGAGTAAATGACTGCATGTTGCTTATTGCTGGGTTACTTGTGTGTCTGTGTGTGTGTGTGTGTGTGTGCCTGTCTGTGTGTGTCTAGCTAACTGTCAGGTTGCCTCGAGCCAAATCACCCTCTGAGCAGCAGCAGCACTCCGCCACCGCTCCCAGAGGAGCATTTACTCTAAAACCTTCACTCCCTCTCCGTGTACTAAGACAAACTCGATAAATCTTTGCTATTTAAGAGTTCACATGATAAACTGCTGTGACACATCTGTCTGTGACGTGGAGGCTGTTGTTGCTAATGTAAGCTGGCAAGCAGATAGACTCTGAAGATATTGACATAAACTGCACGGAGCCTCGAATAAACCCACAAACTCTGATTTTGTTTTGAGGTTCATGCGACGCTTTATACAGGCTGCTGCTCCGGCTGAAACTGCAACCACGAGCGGAGCAATTTAGAAATATCAGAGTATGGTGTCTCCCACGGGCTCAACAAGTCTGTGTGCTGGAATCCTTGCAAGTCAGTTTGATTTGCGACTGATAATTGAGAACTAAAAGCACAGCGGCGACTGCGGCGCTGCATAATCAATATTCCATTTTCAACATAAGATTTATTTTTATGCCCTCGTGGTCCGGGAAGGGTGGCTGAAACATCACGTCATGATTGCTCACAGCTCAGGAGAAGGTTTTCGACCCGTTTTAGCCTTGCGACTTGTTTTCTGTTGCTCCATGCCTTCTTTTTCGTTTTTTTCTCCCCCAAATCTGGTTAGTATGATGAAATACAAGCAACACTGCAAAAGCAGTGTGTCAGAAAACGTCTGACATAAAAATAAGGCTGCTGCTATATCACATGTATATCTTATTATTTATGAATAGAACAAACTAATGTGGCCAAAAATGTAACAAGTTTAAATTCATAGTTTTTTAAACCTTTTTTCTAGGATGTGCTTTTTCTTCTGTTTTGCTATTTTTGACAATTAAATTGTACTCAGACAACAGGTGTAGAGTGCGACCCCAACTGACAAAGTACACACAGCTAACAATTCAAATTTTATTACTTCCAGATAAAGTAATAAATCAGCCATTGTATTTGCACCAGCATGAAGGTGCCGTACACAGTCCACTATATACTGTATACTGGATGGATATCCAGATGGATTAAATGCAAAGCAAAAGCATTTCATTTTCACTAACCCAGGACCTTTTATAAAAGAATACAGAGCATGAAACTGCTGCCCACTTACTAACAGACTACATGATTATAATAAGAGGCAAACACACATACATCAGTCTGGGAACCTCACTAACTAGCCTCTGGGAGGAGGGGCCAAATTTCCAGATCTTCTGCTTTAGCCACGATATCAGTATATCCAGGTCTATGCTTGCTATTTGATGGATTGGTGAAGGATTACCTGCTCAAACATGATTGGTTAAGTCAGACTCAGACCACAAATACAATGCAGACAGTTTCAGTTAGCAAAACTTTGGCCCATTGTCTTCAGTTTCTTCAGATTCATGTGGAGACACTTGCTTGTAGACGCTGCACAAACAGTAAACACCATGTTTAAATCTCTTACAAATTTTCTAACAAGCTCCAAAGTTACAGCACTTTGTAATAACCAACATTAGTATATGTGTGTGTAAGCAGACGAATGTTATCTGGACGGCCTTAATACTTGTTTTTAAAAAACCAGGTGGGCTGTCAGTGACAAAAAATCACCACACTGTTAACCTGAACGCCATGTTTCGTGTTCTTTTTTCACTAACAGCTGAGCTTTGTTTTCACTTTGAGTTGACTAGCTTTTAGGTTAGGAGTCGGCACCTGCTTTGGTTTAAGGTACAATGATTAGACAAGTGCAGCAACTGCATCACAGCCGCCTTTATCATTTATGGCACAGATTCAACATTCCCCAGAGATTTTGGTCCACATTGATGTGATAGCATCACACAGTTGCTGCAGATTTGTCAGCTGCATATCCATTATGCAAATCCCCTGATCCACCACATCTGGGGATTGTAGAGACCATCTGACCTCATTGTCATGTTCAAGAAACCATTCGGTATAAGATGATCTGAGCTTTATGACACGATGTGTTATCCTGCTGGAAGCAGCCATCAGGAGATGAGTACACTGGGGTCAATACTCGGGTAGGTTACGGTGTTTAAATAA